TAGGGTTGATACCTGGAAAGCAGTTGATGATTGAAGTCTGAAGACTGAGTTGCTGCTGGAGGAGCTGAGGCTTTCTTCTGTTTTTCTTTTCTGTATTGTTTGTTTTGTTTGATTTGTCTGTTGCATTAGAATAAGTCCATCTAGAATAAGTTCAGTCTAGGAGCATGATTGCATTAGAGGTTGAGTTGCTCCCTCTGCTTGTATTGTTATTGCGTGGCTTTGCTTGCGGGTATTCGGTAGAGCCCAGCTCCCTTGCCCATGTGGTTTGTTTGCTTGATGGCAATTTCATTTCTTTTATCTGTATGATTGTAGTTTACTGTTTATTGCTTGATAGCATGTTTTTTATTTTTCAGTATGATTACTGTTATTTCATGACTGGCTTGAGGTTGAGATGAGCTTGTGGAGGCTGAAGCCCCACACACATTTCCTCCATCACTTGCATTGCATGCATTTTACTGTTAAGCCGATGCTTTGTCTGTTTTGGTGTATCATTGACATGATCCCTTAGGACTCTCATTTCCTTTGATAAGGATTTGATGATAGACTTTTAGGTTGAAACCTATGCATGACAACTTCTAGGAGTTCCCTGTTCAAACCTCAACCATAGGATGAATCCATGGCATGATAACAGTAGGACTTGATAGTCTCCTTCCTAGTTGGGCCTGTTCTCTTCTCGTCTCAAAACAATTTAAGATACAGTAATCATGAATGATTTCTTTCGTACGTTACGAGCCTTAAGCTATCTGAGAAAGGATTGTGGGAGAGTTTCTTTTCCACAGTCTGGATGTTTAGTATGGTACCCTTTGGGTGACATGCGACGCATTCACTCTCAGGTCATAGTCTCTAGTGCGGTTGAAATCGCAAACACAATAAAAAACACTTCTTTCGTAAAAGACAGGAAATAAACCGTAGTTTCCCGAACTACGTATGCTCTGATCTCTCATACCTGTTGAGAGTACGTAGGCACAAGATGGAGAAGTCTTGGCGAGCAACCTTCCCCCATAATCCTTCGTAGGCCGAACTACGTTGACTCTGATTTCTCGTTCTCTGATGAGAATACGTAGGCATAAAGTGCGACGCTTTGCCGAGTCATTTTTCTTTTCTTTTTCAGCCAGCCTTGATAGGTAGATAGATTATAACCAACCCGTCCAAGTAAACTAACAAGCATGGATCCCGTCGAGTACGACGGACGTGAGGGGTGATAATACCTTCCCCTTGCGTAACCGACTCCCGAACCCAAACAATGGTTGCGATGACCTTGTTTTACCCTTTTTCGTCAGGTTTTTCCGATCGTTTCCTTTCCCGCTCTGAGGGATAAATAACGAAAGGTGGCGACTCTTCTGTCATGCCGGCACCTTATTTTCGCGCAAGCGACACACCACCCAAGGTCTTTTAGATGTCATTGAAAAGTATGCTTACGATAGTAAGGACTTGCAAACTAAATTAATTGTTTGTGATAAGTTCATTCAAAAATTGTGACGGTAGTTTTGGAAGGACAACAGCCGTAAAAAACCAAGATGAAAGTTTTCCAGGTAAAATTAGATGATAAAATTTATGCATTTTAGTACAATGTCAATATGTATTTTAAAAAAATTTCTAATTTTTTCCACATGCACTATTCTAGATCAATAGTGGGAGACTTATGGAACCGAAACGCCCAATTTGCAAAAGTTGACTATTCGGATTTTGAGTCAAACTTGTAGTGCATCTGGTTGTGAACAAAATTGGAGTGTGTTTGAGCATATTCACTCAATAAAAGAAATATGTTGGAGCAACAAAAGCTTAATGATCTCGTCTTTGTTTGTTACAACCTATGGCTACAAAATAAGTGTTGCACTTATTATGCTTTATATGGTATTGTTTCTATACTTGATGGCATGAATATATGTTATTGTTTGGTCTGTTTGATTCTGTTTGTAAAATTAGTAGGACGGTTAATGTATGCCACACACGCAAGCACACACATCTTTCATCGTCTACACAAATATTTTAATGTCTAGTGCAAGATACAACTTAAGAAATAAATGATAACCAATAAGATAGCCAAAGTTGTACCTTAGATCAGGTTTATCAAATAATACAACCAATCTTCTCTTGTCAGGTTTAGTTGTCTTTGCATGCCAACCTAGATGAGTGGCGCTGACCCATCAAGAGGTGAGGAAAACTTCCACCATGAGTTGTAACAAATGCTTTACTATGGAGGCAAATAGTATAATCAAGACCAGTCAACCTAGATGAGTGGTGTTGTACATTATATAAGATTTATGATTGTTATGCATTATATGAGATTTCAAATTGGATATTTGGTATAATCATGCAACCCTGTCGTTGAAATTTATGATTGTTATACATTATATAAGATCCATATTAGATCTTCAGGAAAGCTAAATTAACAAGGAATAAAAATTAGGGAATATACACTAAGAATATATGATATTGTTTGGTTTGTTAAGAATATACGTTATTGTTTGATTTGTTAATTTTGTTTGGTTTTATGTTTTACATTATCGTTAATGATTTATAAAAACAAGAAGAAACAAAATTATGATCATATCAATTTTGAGACACTTGGTGATCATTCAAATTGGGTGTTGGAGGATTCACCACTATTCTTAACCATTGAGGAGGTGGAAGCATTATACAAAGATCTTGTTAGTATGACAATCCAACCTATTTCAAATGATATTGATATGATATTAGTTATTGTGATTACAATTTTGTTATTTAATTTATTACTATATGTCAATTGCTAAACTCTCTAAATTGATGTTGTTATAGATCAATTATATTTGGATGAGGTTGACGTTGAGGGTGATGCACAATTTAATTATGGAGAAAACAACCAAAGTAATGATATCATTGATGGGGAAGATGTTGCATATGCGATTAATTTTACTGGAGATGGTTTTGATATTAAAGAAGGAGATCCCAACATTGAAATAATTTTACCTCTTTAGAACTAAACTTAGTAGACATTAGAGTTATTTTGTTATAAACGATTCAATTAGATTATGTTGCAATTTGACTTTGTAATTTTGTATTATTTTATTATGTGTGATACCTATGTTTAAAATTTGAATTTAAATTATAAAGTTGTGAATTTATGATACGATATTTTAAAAAAATTTAAGTGCTAGTTATATTTTTTTTAGATACTAAATCATCCGGTTTGACCGATTTTATACCTATATAGTTTTGTAATAATGACATGTCTATTCAATCGGGTTATCCGATTTGGTCATGTGGTTCGACTAGTGACCCAGTGGTTCGACCGATGAACTAGTGACTCAGTACCCTCACTAGTTTGATAACCGGTCCAATTTTTAAAATATTGGAAGAGAGAATAGAAAAAAAAGATAGTACTATGAAGTTTTGGGAAATAAAGAGTAAGAAGATAGTGGAGGCAACCCTAATAGAGCAAGTGAATAAGAGAACCTCCATATACAAAGTTCAAAGCTTTTTTTACAAATTCGAGATAAGGGGGAGAATTATTCAATATATTCGAGATAAGTTGGTCATCTTGTTTCACACGTAATTAGAGTTTCGTAACTCCGATTGAGATGCAACTAACTGAGTTTAAAAAAGGGTCTACAAAAACTTTATACTGGAAAGTTTCATAACTTTATCATAAGTCTATAATATTTGGTGCTATTTTGAAGTCATACATTCTATTTTGGAGTTTATGCATGAAATATTGTGATATGGTTGAACTGAAACGAATAGAACTGCAGTTAGAATACTCTGATTGAGATGCAATCAATTGCGTTTGAAAGAGGTTTTAAAGAACCTTTAAACTAGAGAGTTTCATAATTTTATCATAAGTATATAATATTTGGTGTAGTTGTGAAGTTAAACATTCAGTTTTAGAGTTAAATCAAGGGTTTAGGAACCCTAAGGGTAAACTTAGAGGGGCAAGTGTTTTGAGAAACCCTATGAGCGATTTAAGGAATTTGAATACATTTTTAAATAACTTAAATTTGATTTATTGATATGTTACGAGTTGAGTCGGTAAGTAATTGAGTTAATTTAGGGTTGTTTAAAAGTCTTAATGGATATGCCAATAACCCTTATATCTATTAATAACAAGTTGTTAGTATGAGAGTGTTAGGAAAAATAAGTTATGGGTGATCAAGGGTCTCCTATGTTCCCCATTACACATGAAAAACTCTGCACGTTTTAACACATGCTAGAAAATAAGTCTAATTAGGTCTCCCAAAGGCTAAATAATCATTGATAGCAGTAAACATCTCACACACTCCTTTTTCCAACAAATGTTTAGGGATTTTTCCAACTGACATATGACTCACAGTATTGACACCTGAAGAAACATCCCATAGTCGCTCATGCATAAGTAACCTGTCTCACGCCTAAGGGACTCAATTGAATTATCGCCTGAAGAAATCAACGTGGAGTATCGTTTGAGGGTTTTAACATGAAGTCCTGCCCGAAGGACTCCACTGATGTTTCGCATGCTAAGTTCGACTTAAAAATGCCCCATTTACGATCCCCTTAGGAAGAGAAAAATAAATAACTTCGCTCTTTTCCAAGCCTTCATGCTTGAGGTATTGTGTATTGGTGGTATATTTGTGAGAAGGTCTACAAAGCTTCTCGCTCATGCGTGAGCTAGTTTTAAACCTCACAACAATTATTAAAACCGTTGACAACCCTTAATCACTAAAAGTTGTCATACGTTCGTATTTTTAGCAAGTACAAATTTTAATGAAATAATTTAAATTTCAATTAAATTATTTTAAATGTTCAAAAGTTAACAAGGAAAAAAATTTGAAAATGAAAAGTCAAAAACAAAATACTATGCATGACTTGTATAAAATTGATCAACTTTGAAAATACTAGCAGTAGCACCACCGTCCAGTGACAGAACGACGAGATGTTCCATAAACAATCACCATTTCCCAAACTCAATAAACTTCTATTCTATGCTCACACTACCCCTATCACTATCACTCCCTTCTTCTATTCTACTCCCGCATGTTTGAGACATGAACTCTCTTCAATACCGTTACATTCTTTCTCCACATTCCACAAAACCCCGGTTTTCTCACACTTTCCCGCCTCATTTTCATTTTCCTGGAACAAGAAGAAGAAAACACGGTTTCTCAATATGCTGTTCTTCGAAAACCGATGAACGGCCTCCGTTTGATATCAACCTTGCCGTTATTCTTGCTGGCTTCTCCTTTGAAGCCTACTCAACTCCACCTGTATGTTATTCTCCTGTGACTTTTGTTTAATTCATGAAAAAATAGAGAAGTTTTTTCTTGATTATAGATTAATGAATGAAGTTCATTATTCTTATTATTGTTTACTTTGATTTGAAAATTTGTTCTTTGTTAGTTAAATTAAAACAAGTTCACTATTTTTGAGATATATTTCTACTCTTTTTAGTCCTTTATTATTCTTTTCTATTATAACATGTTTCAGGAAAACTTGGGTAGGCTTGAAGTTGATGCTGGTGGTAGTAAGACCATCTATCTTTCTGAGTAAGTAACAATTGCCTTTCATAGTTTCCCTTAAAGCTGTTTCTTGAATAATGCCGTCAGCCAAATCGCGATATCTTGCCATGATTCTTCCATTCTCACTGCAAATCAAAACGCACACTTAATCTTAGATGCCTTTCCTTGTTAAAATAATGGGTAGGCTTGACAAGATCTTTTTGAAAATATGCAGGGAATTTTTTCATGAACTTTATGACGGGCAAATTTTCATAAAGTTGAAAAAGGGATCCAGCTTCCTTTCCATGAATCCATGGGTTTGTTCAGTTATATAAATTTATTTACTGTACTGGATAGTTCTGTAATGTAATGAGATGCATGCATTGCACTTCTTGTTACTTAGCCACACAACCGAGTTGTTTCGCCCCTCCATTTTTAGCTAATTTACATAACTACTTGGCTTTCCTTTTATGCTGTTGTTTCTTTATATTTATTCTAGGGAACAAGTGATCCATATGTGGTCATACAGATGGGTTCTCAGTCTGCTAAAAGCAATATCAAATGGGGGTGAGCTTTTTAGTGTTTATTTTTGTCATTTCACTTCTTCAAAAGCTACAATCTAATGATTAAAATGAATTCTAATAGATCTAAATAGTTTACCGTCATTGTGATTGCAGAGTTTTGTACAGTACAATGTTTAAAATTACTAGTTTACCGTCATAACAGGTAAATTCATTTGGTTCATTTATGTTAAATTAATTGATGGCAGGACAAAAGAGCCAACATGGAATGAGGAGTTTACTTTTAATTTTAAGCGGTCTCCAGACAAAGCTCTACAGGTTAAGAGGCATAGTTTCTCTCCCTGTCTCTGATCTCTCTCATCTGTGCACCCATATAGGCACACATTGGCATGTCCACTCACTCTTATGAGAATCCTTTTTGCATATAAAAAATGATAAATGAGAATCTTTTTAAATAAGTGCGGAAGTGATATTGCAACTCTGATGACATTTAATGGCATGTTGTGGTACATGAAAAATGTAGTAGCAAGTAGTAACTAATCATTGCTTGGTACTTATACTAAGCCTATGTTTTCGTGTCTCAGAGCCAAAATACGCATGTTTGACCTAACGCTCCAAATTAGAGATTGATTTTTTTCGCGTTTTTTCTTCCTAGGAATGCGATATATAACACTCCAAATGAATTACCAAAGACATACTAAATAGATATACATAACTCCTTTTCTACTCATCTATTTCTGGTACTTTTCTTTAGAAGTTTCAATATGATACAATTGAGTTTTTATGTGCTGGAGGAAATGTTTACAGTTGACATGAAGTAAGTTCCTCTTCTTATATCATACTCGGGATATCTGTCCAGAAAATATTACTAATGGATGGTACTCACATATTCCTTAGGAATGAAATAGTTTAGTTAAGATAATTCAAGGCAAGGTTTAAAATGCGAGTCTAAAAAATGTCATGATATGATAATGGTCATATAAGATTGTGCTTTGTGGTTGACATGAGAAATTTTCCTGAACAACTCTCTAGGACACGCTTATGTTGTGTCTCATTTTCTCTTAAACTAATGTAGGCTAAATTGCTTCCACAGTTTATCTCATATTACTAGTTTAGCCCTATATGTGACTTTGCTATGGTTCTTAATGTTAAAACTTCTTCCCCGTCAGGGGTGCTATCTCTATTGGCCTAGAAAGATATCAAAGACTAGTTTGTAAATAGAAGAAAAAAGTTATGTTAAATTTCTTACAGTTGGAAGTATATCTTAGGTTGCAGCTTGGGATGCAAACCTCTTAACCCCACACAAACGCCTTGGGAATGCAGTTGTTGATTTGGAATGGCTTTGTGACGGTGAGGACCTGAAAATTTTGCAAGATATTGAAAACTCTTCTGTTGCTTAAAATTTTGTTGAGTTGAACTATGCTACATTTTCTTGCAAACATGTCTGAATGTCATGATTCATTGAAATGCTAACTGTCAAAAAAAGTGCAATAGAATCTATATATGATTTTTAGCAAGAGAACATAAAGTTAAGATGCCATTTTAAACTTCTGCCTACATTTTTTTACCATATACAGTTTTTTGTTGTTGTAGGAGATACACATGAAATACTGGTGGAGTTGGGAGGAATGGGTGGTGGTGGCATGGTTTGGCTGGAGGTATGTTTCTTTCAATGGAAAAGAATAAATACAAACCAACAGTACAAGCTCTTAATATGGGAAAAAATTACCGGCATATGCATTTTGGTGAAAATCATGATGTCTATGCCATTTGTTCTTCATTTACATTTTAGTGGACAAAATAATGTCTCTCGGGCTATTGTAAAATGGTGTTTGGTTGTTATTCAGTTGAGTTGAGATAAGCTATTCACTTTATCATTGAAAGCGGCAACTAAGTATGCTTAATCTGGTGTCAATTTGCTTATGTGAATAATTTGGGGTTGCCTTCCTTTTAATGAGTTATTACTATTAGTGACTTCTGTAATAAATTTTGGATTTTAGGTAAAATATAAGACCTTTGATGAAATTGATGATGAGGAAAGTTCTAAGTTATCAAATGATTCTGCATTTATGTTGAAGTATCATTCTCAGGAGGCTGGTAGTTCAGATTCAGAAGCCTTTAATGAAGCTTCTAGTGAAAAGAGAAACATGGAAGAGTTTCACTCACGTGACAGTGAAACTGGAAATGAACACGCTTTGGAACCATCACCACAAGCTAGTGAGGAAGAACTATCAAATCAACGTTTTTGGACGAATTTTTCTAATGTTGTCAATGCTAACATTGTTCAAAAGCTTGGTCTCTCTGTTCCGGAGAAATTAAAGTGGGATGGACTGGAGTTTCTAAACAAAATTGGCTCGGAATCCCAAGATATTGCAGAAGATATTTTTATTCAATCTGGTCTTGCGATACCTGGAGGCATAGAAGAATCAGATAATAAAACAAGTGGTCAGCCTGCCATTGCTGCAATCCAGTCTTCACTTCCAGAGGTCAAAAAGGCAAGTGAGAAATTGATGAAGCAAACTGAATCAATTTTAGGAGGTTTAATGCTTTTGACGGCAACAGTTTCCAAAATGAAAGATGAAGGGCGTTCTCCTGAAGAGAGGAAAACCAAAGAAGATTCTACCAAAGGAGTAGGAAGAGACATTCAATATTCTGCTAGTGAGAAGTCTCCTAGCCCAGAAAACGGATCATTTTTGGATGATAAACAAACTGAAGAAACGAGAGCCCTTTTTTCAACTGCTGAAAGTGCCATGGAAGCTTGGACAATGCTGGCCACTTCACTAGGTCATCCTAGTTTCATTAAGTCTGAGTTTGAAAAGATATGTTTCTTAGATAATGCATCCACCGACACACAGGTGTTTTGTTACCTCCTGAGTTTTACTGCCGAAGTATTTTTCCATGCAGTGCTTTCTATTTTCTTAATAATTAGAACTTTCAGGTTGCAATTTGGCGTGATTCTGTGCGAAGAAGGTTAGTGGTTGCATTTAGGGGAACAGAACAGGTAGTTTATATTCTTCTTGTTCTTTTAGGCATAGTACTCTTCAGCCATCTGGTTTGTCGCAAAGATGCTTATGTTTTTATTTTGATTTTTCAGACAGCATGGAAGGACTTTGCAACGGATTTAATGGTTGTTCCAGCTGGGTAAAATTCATTTCTAACCTAATTGTGACTTGGGCCTAACTCAACCTTACAAAACCAACTTGTAAGGTGATGACTGCCCTCACTTATAAACACATGTTTAGACCGCACATTATCTGATACAGGACTCTTAACAGATATCATAAGAGGAGAGAAAACAATTTTAAGTTTCCGAATTGTAAATTAAATTGGAGTATTTATGAAAGAAATTATTAATACATATGAAAGTTTGTAAAGGCTCTTATCTTATGTTAGGGGCAAAGAAATATGAAAAGATGGCTTACATTTCCTAGCCATAAAAGCATCCATATTTTTATGTTCTGTTATGATTTTCCATTTTCTATTTCATCCAGTTCAGGGTCTTGTTAATAAGGCTATGCCATCTAAGGGGGCCTTAAAAATTATCCTTTTGTGTGACACAAGCTCATAATTAATTTAGGGATAAATTTTTATTTCACTATATTGTTTTATTTCATAACTAACTTTGCTATGACTTCTATAGGCTGAATCCTGAAAGGGTAGGTGGAGATTTCAAGCAAGAGGTTCAAGTATGTTAATTGCTGGCAGGTTTTTGTTTTTAATACATCTCTAAAAAGCTACAAGAACCAGAATTTCTTCTGTTATTGACGGTGCTGAGATCTTTGCAGGTTCACAGGGGCTTTCTAAGTGCATATGACTCTGTAAGGACCAGGATCATTTCTCTGATTAGACTTGCAATTGGTTATGTGTAAGTTATACTTCCGAAGAAGTTTTGTTGACCAAACACGGCCCATTTTTACATTATTTTTCTTATGGGGGTGATGACCACATTTTCCCTATTCCATATAACTACCAATTTTCTTCTCTCATACTCAAGTAAGCATTGTCATTGACTATTAGTATCATATTCATGTCTTTTACATATCACATTATTAGTTTTACTCAACATTTGATTTCATACTGACAAACTGAAGGTGTATTGTTTTTGTACCAGAGATGATCATTCTGAGTTCACCCACAAATGGCATATTTATATGACTGGTCATAGTTTGGGTGGTGCATTGGCTATCTTGCTTGCCCTTGAACTTTCATCAAATCAATTAGCTAAGTAAGTTTATTACTCTTACCTAGTTACATTTTGATAGGAACTGGTATCTAGAATGTATTTACTGAATAATGTACTTTTTGCCGCAGTTGAATGGAACTAGAAGAATTATAATAATCTGAATTAATTGATCAATTAAGTAATATATTTCTCTTCCCTGTTTTGTGGAAACTAAACAATTTTAATCCTGACAACTTTTCTTGTTGACATGCATTTTTTGTTTTCATTGTTATGACACATAATTTATAAATGGTAACTACTATATACATTATTGATTCATTGATTGATTTTTGTCTCAGGCGAGGAGCGATTTCTATTACTATGTATAATTTTGGTTCTCCTAGGGTTGGTAACAAAAGATTCGTAAAGGTTTACAATGAGGTCAGAAAAGGTTATACAGTTATTTTGCTGACGCTGTTTTTGTCGCCTTGTTACATGCTATATTAAATAAAATGTCCGTGAATTTGGAAATTCCAAAATTGCCAAATGTGTGCATAGTAGTCATCTTGTACAAAAGACACCTTTGGCTAGTTATATATGATTCGTTTAGGCATTTGAGTACAAGACTGGTTATATATGGAGTTGCAATTGTTTCAAGATTCGTTTTGGCATTTGAGTACTGTGATCTATATTTAACATTTAGCATCTAAAGTTAAAGAAAGAACATGTCGCTCAATTTATATCTCCTCTTTATTCCATAACATAAAGTAAGTTATGCTGTAGTTCTTTAAGGACTGTCATTTATAGTTGTTGCCACATGTTGGCAAGTTTTCAATTTCTTATGATATGTTCTAACCAAAGCAATAAGTGAATGGAGCATGTGGTGAAAAGTCATAGCAAACTCCGGAATATTGAATATTTTATTTAGAGTCATTTCATCTTCCAAACCGTCATATACTATTGTTTGCTTCTCATATTTACAGAAAGTTAAAGATAGCTGGCGAATTGTGAATCACAAAGATATCATTCCTACAATGGGCAGGTTCATGAGTTATTGTCATATCAATCAACCTTTATTTCTTGCTGCAGGAGTTTCAACGAATTCCTTAGTAAGTTTTAATCTAATGCTTCAAACACAACATGATTGAAAAGGGTTTCACAATTATTCATTACAGTAATAAAAATAATTACTCAAAAAAAGGGCCCAACCGGGTTCGAACCGGTGACCTCTTGATCTGCAGTCAAATGCTCTACCACTGAGCTATGGACCCTTTGGCGTGAATACATTGTCCAATCAAGAACAAATATCTTACAAACTGTCCTATCTTTTCTGTAACATAATTTGAATTTTTTCATGATTACTTTCTTACCGTGTTTACAAAGGAATTCTTTATGCTGTCTTTTTATAATACTATTTTAAGTGTCAATGTATATAAAAAGTTGTATAATTAATCTATACTATATGAAAGTTGTATTTGAGATAAACAAAAATAATTTCATCAATCTTAATTAGACCGGGCATTTTATGGTTCTTCACACTTCAAATGCATATTACTCAGGAGAATAAAGATATTCTTGGAAATGGTTCCGAAAGTGATGTTCTTGGGGAATCCACACCAAATATCATAATCAACCACTTTGTATGTTTCTTCTTCTCCTTCCCTAGTGACACACAAATCTATACATACGTATGCATTTTCTTTAGATTTTTAATAGTGACGGTTAACAAATGCTTCCTTTAAAGTTTTTTGAGTTATCTTTCTTTTAATGTTCACCATTATCAACTTTGATCCATCCAGATAAAGGGCGAAGTGGAACTTATTGAGCAGTTGTTAGAAACTGAAATTAATATATTTCGCTCAATCAGAGATGGAAGTGCTTACATGCAGCATATGGAGGACTTCTATTACATCACATTACTAGAGGTATGATGCACTCACTTTAAAAACCTTAAAGGAAATTTCTACATTCTGTTATCATCATTTTTTATCTAGGTTTACGGGTAGCGTAATTTACTTCGGTTCAGAAAAACATGTTCTCTAGGGAAGAGAGACATTAACGAACCAAAGTAGTTTAGATGGATTTTTTCATAGAGTTGATAATAGGAATCTTATAAGAAAAATGAAAAATAAGTTATTTTATAGATGGATTTGATGAAAAAAAATTTAGTCCAAATCACCAAGTTGTTTGAGTATGTTGATTAATGGCTGAATGTGTGGTAAGGACACAATTATCATTTCTGATCATTTTTGAGTCCAAAAAAAATTATTTCAGTTTTTGTTATTAATTTATAGCAGTGCTTAATTATTAAATTATTTCAGAATGTAAGATCAAACTACCAAGTTGCCTCAAGGTCAGAACAAGATATTAACACCAGTTTATCCTGAGCCAACAAGAGTTCATGGCTGAGATTCATGTACAAATCTACATATGCACTGGAGGAAGAAATGGAAAAAAAGCACATATATATTTCATTATCATATCACCCTCAGCTAAATCTTTAGAGGTATGGTAGGATCTACTCTCTGTAAAGTGTTAAGAAAAATATATGTAATCATTTTTTTATCATCAAGAGTGATTTAGATACAGTAGAAGGGGTTGATTCCCACATTGTGACAAAACAAGGTTGAATCATTGCCAACTGTAAGAAGTTCTATTGAGAATTATAATTCGTTTGTGAAAAGGTTTTTAGGTCGCAGGTCGGTGAAAAAGAATAGTTTAATTGGTTGGATGTATTTTAGGTGAATGGCGAATGTTTGATGAGAATCAAATGTTTAAAGAGTTACGCCAGAATAATAGATCTCAACGATCCTTTTCCATTCAAGATTAATTGAGAAAATTGTATGATGGACAACAAACGCTTGATAATAATCAATTGTTCAAAGAGTTACGCCAATGTCTTAGATCCTAATGAACCTTATTTGTGCGTTTTAAAAACGAAAGAAAAGAATGAACGACTATACCAAGACGCGAGGCTCGGGACCGATCATTCAAAGATTCTGGTAGAATGCTAGGTTCTAAAGGTCCTCTTCTTTCGTCTTTTATTTATAAAAAAGAATTGTTTTGAATTGATTTAACAAGTTTGAAGAAGAATTGATTTAAAAGAGTTTTTTTTTAATTTCTAAACCGGTATGATTGAACTTTGACCCATAGTTAACTAACACCAATATGACGAATGAAAGCAAGAAAACAATGCGATGTGTTGAGTGCTGCAAAAAGCAAAGATAGAATGTATGCAAAATCTAAAAGCAAAAAATTGGCCTAATCCTAAATGATCCAAAATCTATTATATATACGTAAAATCTATTATATAAATAACATGATGGATAAAATAAAAAGAAAATATAAACAAAAAGAAAATGGGTGATGTACTAAAAAAAATTTATACGGTCAACTAATCACGACCATAAATTCTGCTGCTAAATTAGACTATAATTTTTTTAAAATTTATATGACATAGTAAAATAATATATTCTTATTTTATTTAATGAAAATGTAAAACTTTTTTCCCTGTCAATGTATCTCCTTTAACCTCTAAACAAAAACTGTTAGTCTTGCTCTTAGAATTTTATCTAACACATGAAATAATGAAAACCAACAACATAAATTATTGACTTTCCATTCTTCATAAAATTAAGCTAAAGCCAAAAAAAAAAATTTCCAATAAAACGCAAGGGTTGTTTCTGAAAACACAACAACCTATTTCTTTATTTTTCAAAAAGAAATATTGAAACATAAGAAATACACTCACATTTTTCGAAAACAGACTTGAATGCACAACATCGAAACACTAAAAAAGAGAGAAAGAAAACAAACTGATAACAGTGGTAAGCGGTGACGAACGAAGAGCAGTGTGATGATGATTTGTGATTCCAGTGAGTATTGTGTTTGCCGTAGTGCGTGGCGGACTTTAGCGAGATGAGCGGCATTTTTGCGATGTTGTTGTTGGGACGATGCCGAGTTGCTTGTTCTCGCCGTCAAAGGTGTCTTGCAGCGGTGGTGCAATTAGGTGATAGAAAATGTGAGATGTTGGATCAAACTCTATAATGGTCAATAGTCGAAGTTTGTTCTAACATGCATTAGTCAATATTGCTAGGTTTGTTACATTGCTGAATTGGGTCTCGCTTGTAAGCTCAATTGTTTAAGTTAGCTTGTACCCTAAGTTAGCTTGTAATGGGTCATTGTTAAAAAGCTCATTAAGTTAATGTGTTATTTTTCTTATTAAAAGCATGCTAGTCTCTCATCTTGTATAAAGAAAAATACGAAGATAAAATCTTAATTCAAGAGAGAAAGGTTCTTTTGTTATTCTTGTATACTTGTAATCGTGTTTGATAGAGAAAGGAAAGAATAACGGTTTATAACCAATCCATGTTCTTTCTTCTTGTTCTTATTCCTTGTTTTCTTTGTTAACCCTAACCCTTGTGTGTTTCTTGAATATAAAGAAACCGTTTATATTTTGTTTCAAGACATTCTATTCACAACAAATTGGTGCGGTGAGCGTGGAGAAGATTCAAGTATGAGATTGAAAAGTTCATTGGAGTGAACGACCTCGGTCTGTGGCGCTTGAAGATGAAAGCCCTACTGGTTCAGCAGGGTTGTTTGGAAGCGTTGGAGGGAGAGGCAGTCATGGACACTACGTTAACGACAAAAGAAAAGAAGACCATGATTGAGAAAGTCCACAATGCAATATTGTTGAGCCTTGGTGATAAGGTTCTTCGACAGGTATTAAAGGAGACTACAACTTCGGGGTTATGGGTGAAACTTGAAAGTTTGTACATGACCAAATCTCTGGTGAATCGACTCTACCTGAAGTAAGCTTTGTATTCATTCAAAATGAATGAAGACAAAGTGTTGGCTGAGCAGTTGGATATGTTCAACAAGCTGATTCTTGATCTTAAAAATATTGATGTGAAGATCGATGATGAAGATAAAGCACTGTTGTTGTTGTGTGCTTTGCCCAGAACACATGCTCACTTCAAAGAAACTCTCTTGTATATAAGGGAGTCCCTGAGCTTTGAAGAAGTTCAATCAACCTTGTATTCTAAGGACTTGAACGAATGAAAGGAGCATAAACCTTTGATAGTGGGTGAAGCTTTGGTCGTTAAGGGAAAATTCTTGCGAAAGGATGGTAAGTTTGACAAGAAGAAAGGTTAAAGTCAGCAGAAGTCTTATAGTGGTGAAACATATGGTATTCGATGTTATCATTGTAAGAAGGAGGGTCACACAAGAAATGTGTGTCCTAAACGCCTGAAAGGTCATGGAGGTAAGGATAATGGCAACCCAGCCATTGTTCAAGATGACTTCGACTCATCTGATTTTCTTGTGGTTTCAAGTGGCAACTCAAGAAAAGAGTGGATTATGGATTCAGGTTGCACTTGGCACATGACTCTAAACAGAGAATTGTTCGAGGAGCTATATTATCAAGATGGTGGATCGGTGGCATTGAGAAACAACAAATCTTGCAAAATTGCAGATATTGGATCTGTGAGATTCAAGCTCCATGATGAGTCAATAAGGTTATTGACTAAAGTCAGGTATGTACCTGATTTGAATAGAAATTTGATTTCTCTAGGTGAATTTGACAGGAAGGGATATTTTTTTTCAAGGAGAGAAAAGTATCCTAAGAGTCATGAAGGGGTTGGAGGAAGTCTTCAGAGGCATGAAGAAACAAGGCTTGTATACCCTTGAGGCTGAGGTTATAAGTGCCTCGACAAATGTTGCATCCATGAAACCTGTGTTGAAGACAGAATTATGGCACATGAGATTGGGCCATGTTAGTGAAAGAGGCCTGGTCGAATTGGGGAAGCAGAACCTGCTAGGAGGTGACAAAGTCGAAAAGTTATAGTTTTGTGAATCTTGTGTATTTGGTAAATCCTATAGAGCGAAGTTCAACAAAGGCAAGCAAAGAACACATGGATCTCTAGATTACATTCATGATGATCTTTGGGGGCTTGCAAGGAATCCTTCACACTTAGATGCAAGGTATTTTCTATCCATCGTTGATGAATATTCTAGAAAGTTATGGATATTCATCCAGAAGACGAAGGATCAAACTTTTGAGAATTTCAAAAGTTGGAAGGTTATGGTCGAAACTCAATCTGGTAGAAAGGTTAAGAGGTTGAGAACCGACAATGGCCTTGAGTTCTACAATGAAACGTTCGGCAGTTAGTGTGTTGAGTCTGGGATTTCAAGGCATAAGACTGTAGCAGGTACTCCTTAACAAAATGGTTTAGCTGAGAGATTCAATCGAACAATCCTTGAAATGGTTAGATGCATGTTGGTTAGTGCTGGATTGAAGAAGGTGTTTTGGGCGGAGGCTATTTCGACAGCAACCTATCTAATAAATAGATGTCCCTCGACTGCCTTAGAAATGAAGACACCTGAAGAAATTTGGTCGGGACATCCACCTAGTCTCGACAGACTGGGGGTATTTGGTTGCATGGCCTATGCTCATATTTGGCAATACAAGGTCGAACCTAGAGCTCTGAAATGCATGTTTATGGGATACCCTGAAGGATTCAAAGCATATAGGCTATGGTGCCTAGAGCCAGGTCACAGGAGGTGTATAACCAGTCGAGATGTAGTTTTCAATGAAGCAAATATGGCTTTCAAGAAAACTGATGATGCTGACGAAGAGCTGGAACAGAGAGAGATTCTTGTTGAGGTGGAGCATGTTGATGCTGAATTGCGTATCCCATATGAAGTCGAAGAAGATGCAATAGATGTTATCGAAGATGAGGAGACTGATAATGACTACCTGATAGCAAGAGACATGTCGAGGAGAGTCATCAAGTCGCCTCAGAAACTTGGGTATGCAGATTTTATAGCTTATTCCTTAATCTCTATAATTAAGGCTCTAGATGAAGAACCTAGAGACTATAAGGAAGTTATGAGGATTCAAAAGAAGACGGAATGGCTGAAGGCCATGGATGATGAGATGAAATCTCTTTATGATAACAACACCTGAGGACTGATCAAGGAACCTTCTAGAGCCAGGTTATTCAGCTTAAATGGATTTTCAAAGTTAAGGAAGGGATCAAAGGAGTGACGTCGAAGAGATACAAGGCAAGATCAGTCACTAGGGGGTGCACTCAGAAAAAAGGTGTTGAATTCAATGATGTGTTCTCTCCTGTTGTGAAGCACAAATCCATTTGAATGTTGCTTGCCACGGTGGCCCAGTTTGACCTTGAACTAGAATAGATGGATGTGAAGACTGCGTTCTTGTATGGTGATCTAGATGAAACAATCCTTATGATGAAAGCTGAAGGGTATGTCAAAAAAAGGAAGGGAGATTATGTGTGTGAGCTGAATAGATCCTTAAATGGACTGAAACAATCTCCTTAACAGTAGAATAGGAGATTCGACAAGTTTATGGTACGCATAAGTT